GACAACCGAGCACCTTTAACCTTAATAATTATTTGTGAAAGTGGGTGTGGCAACAATATAGTCGTCTCGGTTATCGATTAATATCGGAGACCCAAACTGTTTTATTTTTCATTCGGAAATAGCTCCCACGGACTGTAGACGGGATCGAAACCTCGTCGTTGCACTTGCCGCAAATGTGGTGGTCATAATATATATGTCACGGCCAGCGTCCGGCGGTGAAAAAAGCCACTTGATGTGATGGCGCAACACACAAATGTCATAAATCGCTTAAACACTAAATAAATTATTATATACAAATTCGTCGTGCACGACTTAAAATAAATATTGACTCTGTCGTTTACGGTGAAAATGGGACAAACCGTTGTTTACCAGTAATACTTCGCGACATATGCTGATAAGCAGAGGACGTCAAAATCTCGCTTAGATTTCAATCCGAAACAACATATGAATAAAAATCAAGACGCTGTTTAGTGATTCTTGCAGACTGTCTCTGATGGTGCCCAGGAAAATATTCTCCAAGATGTTTTTTTTTTTTTTAAACCATAACCATAATCATACAGAAAGTATTATTACTATAACTGGCAAAAATTTGGTTTTATAGTAACACTCACCTATATCATACGGTTTACGATTAAACCATTTATTAAAATTAATTTTTTATGGAACCCTGCCTTATTTCTACATGGGATTTTTTATTTTTGAACATTTTCAATAATTTTTTCATTGTTTGTTAAAAACAGTAAATAAATTTTCGAGACCCTCGCAATTTCCTAATCTTTCTATTTTAGATTTTAGAAAACAAAATTAATATAAATGAAATAAGGAATTATTATAAGATATTCATCATTTTATGATTCAATTCACTTATAAACTTAATACTTACTAACAGTTTTTAAGTACACTACATTTTTCTAATAATATATCATGCAACCAGTTTTATAAATGACACTTTAAGCACAAGTTTATCAACGTGTTGCATACTACACGTGTTCTACGACTGTTCACGTTTTGGGTACATTTTTGAGAAACGATAAGAATACTACTTTCACCGAGTGAAGTGACAAACGTCAAAATACCATCAGTATTTAAAATCTAGCAAAAATAATATCTGATCGCTGCCAAACCGTGACTAAAGTACCGCATGGTTATCTCCATAATTTAAGAAAATGTTAAAAAGGACGAAGAATTTTTAATAGATATTATCAAAATCATAAAGAGAAAAGTCCAATAATTTAACAACATAAATTATTAAAACTTGCTATAACATTTTCTAAAAGACCCAAACGAAAAGTGAAACGGACTAGGGAAATTCCATCTTTTATTTTACAAACAAGCTGAAAACTATTGCGAAAAGTGCTTTTTTCCAGGCAGGTTCCTTATTTTGCAATGAAATTTAATTGCTATGTAACTGACTTTATCCTGCAATATAATTTGATTGTTGAAAGTGAAGATGGACAATGATCAGATTTCCAATAATCAAATTAAATTATTAGCGACACTGATGTAATATGTAGAGAAGTAACAAAAAATTAAAGAAAAATATTCTGAACTGATTACGACGGTGGCGTAAATTGTATTGGGGGAAAAGGAAAGTATTTGTTTCATTCTCTACAGCACGCAATATACTGAAATGATGACCGTGGTTTAGATCGTATGGGAGGAAAAGAAAGTCCACAGTTGCTCGCATCAGAAGAATTGCTATCCTCTACTTTCTACTATTTTAAGATATCTCAACATTTGTAACCTATTTATGAAACAGAACAGAAACAGAAAATAGGAAGGTATCAAAACAATGCTCGTCATCTTTGAATACTAAAACGCTCTCAGAAACTCGGAATATTTTATATAGTGTTTTAGGTGGTACTTAAGGTGGTGCTAATTTTGTCCTCAAAATTTCTCAATTTGGGAGATATATGGAAATTTTTAGATAAGTAACTTTTCGATAGCACACGGCATTTATATTACGTGTTACGTGTTAAACTTCCTAATTTCGCGTCTCAAGGTCGTATTTCCAAAATCAATTTATCACTCTAATTGTTATCAGATTACCACTTGATAGCAATAAACAGCATTTATAATCACATATTCAGCTTCTGATAACTAATTGTTCGGCAAAAAAAAAACAAACCAATAAGTACCATGAGTCTATAAGTACTGCACTGTACTCCAGACCAACTAAATTTGAAATGCCATAGACGTTTCCTCTGTTAATTTGAATAGGATTTTGAAGACAATATGTAAACTAAAGTTACTAAATACTCTTTAAGAAGTTAGCCTTCACTTCAGAGTTACAGGGAATTGAAGCACGACGTTAGTACCATTGTTAAAATAAAAATGACACGTATAGCAAAAGTGTCAAAATTTCTGATTTGTAAAGAAAAATTGTTGCTCCTAAGACTATACTAATATCTTCCCTTTTTTATCTCGTCTCAAAAACTCCCGGTGTACCTATCAATTTTGTGGTTATTATGTTGAACAGTTGCCAAAATATCAACAAATACTAAATTTACATTTTTTAAATTTAACATCGTGTACTTTTTTTTATATCGAGTTTTGGAGACTAAACGATATCGAATTATTTTAACCCAAAACAGACCCCGAGGACAATGCAGCACAAAATAAAGAGCAAGACATTTTGCGCACACAACTTGAATTCGTCCCATTTTGAATTTAAATGCGGGCAACGGCGCAACCAATATCCAAGGGAGACCCGACAAAACTTCAAGTTCAATGAATATGCATTCCTTTAAACACCATTGCCACATTTAAAAAACTAATATAGGATATTTTCGACATTTGTCATGAATTAAAAGAGCTAAACGAGGGCATTTTTTAAAACCATTGTCAATTATGGTTTAAACAGATTTTTTTCTACACGGCAAATTTCAAATTCAAGCGAAGGTTCTGGTTTTGTTTTACGTTTTTGAGAAATAGTCCACTTCTGCGGGCTTGTTTCATTTCGTCATTTTCTTTTTAAAAGTTTGATTTCCGGCTGTCTTGAATGCTTAAATGCTAAAAGACCCAATTTTTTTATGTAAACCACAACTTATATATTTTTTTGCAAGTTATTTGTTTTTTGTAAGGACCTTTTTAATATCTAGTAAAAAATAATAGAATAAAAAATTTGATTTGATTTGATTTGCCTAATCTAATATTTTTCATAGCGAGAAAAATGCAAACTTGATTTTTACGAGCTTTGACCTTGATTGAATTTGTTTAGCTTGCATTGTATTAATGTTCCGAAGATTTATATCAATATTTAGCTCGACTTTTTGGTTTATTTTGACCGAATTAATCGGTATTCTTGTTTACTTTTAATAGAGGTATCAAATTTATGTATTATGTAAATAAGTATTATGGTTATAAACAAGCACTAGTACACACTATAATAAAAATTAATCCTATTCCTAAACAAATTTAATGAATAGCCAGGATCTCAACCGAGTTTTCACTGTTCCGTCGCCTTCACCATTTCCACGGAAAATAGAATAAATAAACCCAGGTATTGATAAAACTAATGCTACAATCTCAAATTCCAAATTATCACAATGCGATATAATAATTCATAAGCATCACATTTCCACTGAATAAATGTGGAAGCAAACAAATATTATAATAAGAATCTGTTTTTTTTTTATTTTAATATTTCCATCCATTATTATTCCAAAATTACTACAGAAACGATATAATGCATGTGAGTGTTTGAAAAGTTTCTGTATAAATTACTGCAACATATAAACATAAACACTACTCTTAGTTATACAAAAATTCTAAATTACAATAACTAATATATTAAATTATTATTAAAAATCAATTTTTAAGCGTTTTTCAAAAACAAACTACGTTCGTAAATTCGTGACCGGGATAACACGGAAATCAGGACGCATGAACCTAAAAGGAAAACCGCCCGGAGAAAATGGGGTAACCGCCCCTATTGCGACCTTGATGATTTGACATTGCGAAACAAATACGTAGCTACATAGATACCGAAGATAATAGATATTTCATTAAAAGGCAAAATCGTCCAATGAGAGACAGTCTAATAATAAGTAATTATTATTTAACCATGCTTTACTATTGTCAATATTTAATTATACCGACAATAACTAGTAAATTGGAAATAAAACTGATGAAACCATATAATAACACAAACGCTGAAGATGCCATAAAACGATTACTTACATCGTTAAAGACCGATTGCTGATCATGCAGTTTTTATTGCAGAAAAGAGAATTCTGACGATTTTTTCCATGGCAATTCAAAAAGCATTTCGAATTGGTTTTGCAAATGTTCACTGCAAGACGAGCTCACGCATTTGCAATAGTGACATAATTCCATTAACACTATTCTACAATTTTCCGGCAAGCGGGGTTGACGATAACGCGAAACATACGAAAAACACTTCAAACTGTCCGACACGCGAAACGAATTTCCATACAAATAAATTGACAGCACTTATCACTACTCGCGGCGCGCGCAACTTCGACATCGATCAAAAGCGAGCACCGAGCTAAACAGAGGTAGTGGTAAGTTCAAGTTCATCTGAAATCGTGCTTTAGGAGGAATGTTTACTTTTGTGTCGCATATTTGGACGCAAAAAGACTGATTATTCGTTGGTTCCTTTGAATTTTAGTAATTCGATCAAAATGTTAACTATCAAACGGTTAAATTTCCAGTTAATTGATGCTAATATTAACATAGTACCAATGCTACAAACGTTTTACATGGTATAATACATAATATAATTAGCATTTCTCATCCAAAATGATAGGAAAAAAATTATCCCTAATTAAGATACACATTTTTGGACTTTTTATACAATATTTTTTTTACCTAAACTTGTGGGACTATGGGATTTATGATTTCAACTCTCAAAAGATAATATAACTAGGTATGACACCTTAAAAATGTCACATGCTGGCAGGGAATTATGTTTTATTAACATGATCCTTATGTAAAAAAAATGAAGTACAGGCATAACTTAAAATAAAACAAAAAAGTTTATCAACAGATTTTTATCTTTACAACTTTACTTTGCTTTCTTAGATTTAATTTTACGCATGTAAAATTCTAGTTCTTTGCCTTCAAGAATATATCCATCTGCTCTTCCACATTGTCCTGGACGTGACGCCAAACATGCTGTAATAAAGAACAATACACTGAATGAAAAATGCTATTAACAAAACAGAGGAGTATAATAAAGAACTTTATCATCAGAGTAACTATGACCAAGCATTCATTGTCTAAAAAGCATACTCAAAACAAGTGACGCCAATTACTTAAACTCGCTTTAATGTTATCATCATCTCAATATCAATGCGCTTGAAATAAACATTTGCCCTTATTATTGGCTTGGCATTGGCTTACCTAACAATCTACCAGTCAAAAATTGCTCTTCCAGTGCTGGTTCTACTTTGGCAGTCTTTTGCCTATTTTCATATTTCTTCTGCACCTTCTTACTCACTTTCTTATTTAACACATCATCTTCTTCTCTAGCCTAACAAAAGACCATAAAGGGTCAGTATATATACAACAGACAAGAATTTTACCACTTGGTAAAACCTGTTTTTGTATCTAGCTAACCAGAATAAACTTACACTCTGTGCTTTGCTCCCCTTTTTCCTCCCCAATGGTAGCATATAATGACTCTCATACCATTGCTTGAATGGGGTGGCATCCACAACAACAATGGCATTTTTCACCAATGTTTTGGTACGCACCAATTCATTGTTGCTAGCATTGTAAACGACGTCAATAATACGAGTTTTGCGAGCTGTGCCCTCACTTCCCCAGGCAAAGTTTCCAGTATCCAACCTCAAGGCTCTATATTTTAAATTCCCACCGCGCGTTCGGACATAATGAATTCTTCTCGCACCTAATTTTGTGTTAGCAGCCGGGCGACCTAACTCGAATTTCCTCTTTTTGCGCAGAGGCTTCCTCTTGCCTCCAGTCGCTCTCCTCTTATGCCAATGATCTCTACTAATACCTAAAATTAGGTGTTATTTGAGATACTAGACTTAAGTCCTGTACCCAAAATATTATTAAATTAAAAATCAGATCGCTGTGGGATTTCTAAGACATCAAGAATGTCATCAGACATGAAAATTCATCACAATACAATTTAAACGTTGAGGTTATGAGGTTACCAAAAAATTAAATCTGCAAATCTATTCGCATAACAAAAAATATAGATTTAAATAACTAAAGGGCATCCACAAAAATGTTTCAAATATGTTGGTTTAAAAAAAAAGTTTAGCTCTTTTTAGATGACTTACGATTTTATCACATTTATAAAGAAAAACACTTACCCATTTTAGAATGGAAATTTGAAAGGCAATAGCACAGACTACAACGATATAGTAAAAATTGGAATCGTTCTTTGGCATTTACGTATGGATTTTTCGTAGTACGTAACCTTCAAGACGTAAACTAAAAATGCTAAAAGGCAGCAAAGTTATTTTAGCTCATTCATTTAAGGCCTTAAAATTAGGCTTTGACATTAGTTTTTATTGGTTTATCAAAAATGTTTTTCCAAGAAGATCGACTTTATGCTCTATGATAATTTGTAATAGTATATAATATATGTATGATACATATAATAATGTATATTTATCTAATATAGTATATAATAATATACATATTATATATAACAATACAATACTAATAAGGTTTTTTTTTAATGCTCTTGGGCTAGTCTGCCAGGATCATTCGGTCAACTAATAAAGTTTTTCTTCTTTACTTGTATCGATAAAATTAATTCGTATCCTTCGCCTAAATTAAAGGTTTTTTCATTACGCTTTATTTGGCCACTACTTCATAAACAATACGGCAATAAGGCAATACGAGCAAACTTAGAAATAGGTGTTTTTTATTTTTTTAAGACAATCACAATACCCACTACTCCCGGTGGGAATTGAACCCACAACCTCCGGCAAGTCTAGTTAGCTTGCCTTGCCAACCGAAAATTATTATATATTGTATTTTACTTTCTCCTTTGTTAGTTGATGATGAGCAATTTTGACCAAGCTAAGTTGGCTGAACTGGAATCCGTCAACTACGTTTTGGAGGTATTTGTGACGTTCCTTTACGTGCTTTTTATGAATGAACTGCCATGGCCGGTGATAGAGAACAATTTTATCAAATACTGTCAACACTTTTATCCACCGATAATAACATTAGAGTCCAAGCGGAGGTATGTTTTATATGTCATTTTTGTCAAAGTGTTAATCTTCAAATGATTTGTACCTCACATTGGTGGTCAAAAAAATGCTGCAAAACGTGTGTCCAGCATCTTTGGATACAAACCTTTGTAGCTCTTTACATTTTTGCAGTTGCTCAAAATTTACAGAATAATTAGTTAAATTAATACTGTGTATTATTGACTGAGCCAGTACTATATATTTCTTTTATACCATAGGAGGCCTATTCAAATCTTCCAATAGAAAGTAAGGTCAGTCATTTACTTGGTGCAATACACAATGCCAGCTTGGGAGATGATGCAAGGCAGATGTCTGCAGTGTTACTTCGACGTGTTTTTTCAAACGACTTTGCAGAGTTTTATCCAAAGCTCCCACCTGAAAGTCAAGCTCAGCTCAAAGAACAAGTTCTACTAGGAGTCCAACAAGTTCAAACTGAACAGTTACGACACAAAGTATGTGAAGTTGTAGCTGAAGTAGCTCGAAATCTAATAGATGAAGAAGGAAACAACCAATGGCCTGAATTTTTGCAAGTAGGTTTATTTATTAAATAAGGAGGGAATTGGAGGATAAAGTTGATTTTTGATGTTTATATTCATGTTAATCAGATATATTAAGAAAACAAAAATAAATGTTCTATAATTAATAAATTGTGATTTAACAGCATATAATCTTCAAAAACTTCAAAGTAGAGAACTATAATGAGTGCAATAAAACAATTTTCTAGTTCTTATTCCACTGTGCCAATGACTCCAACCCAGTGCTCAAAGAGGCTGCCTTACAGATGTTCACTAGTGTTCCTGGAATTTTTGGAAATCAACAAAACAATTATTTAGATTTGATTAAACATATGTTATTGCAAAGCTTACAACCTTCAGAAGCATATGAAGTTCGGTTCCAAGCTGTCAGGGCAGTGGGTGCTTTCATTGTAGTAAATGACAAAGAAACACAAATATTGAAACACTTTTCCGATTTATTAGGCCCCATGTTAATGGTTATTGCTGAAAACATCCAACAACAGGAAGATGACACCCTTCTAAAGGTAGTGTAAATTTTGAATAGAGGTTTATAATAAGAAAAAAAAAGTGACATATTGCTGGTAGTATTTACTTTTATACCATCTGCTGCCAAATAATGAAAGAAATCTTTACAGGTTTTAATTGATTTAGCAGAAAATACTCCAAAATTCTTAAGGCCGCAATTATTGGGAATTTATGACATCTGTATAAGCTTGTTTAATGAAACCAGTGCCTTGGATAGTTGGAGAACTTTAGCCCTTGAAGTGATGGTTACTCTAGCAGAGGTGGCCCCAGCCATGGTCAGAAAGCATGCGGCGAGATACATGGAACAATTGGTTCCACTTATTTTGCAATTTATGGCAGATTTAGAAGAAGAGGAAGGATGGGCTGAGTCAGATGAATTGCTTGATGAAGATAATGACTGCAACAATGTTGTTGCAGAAGCTGCCTTAGATCGGTTGGCTTGTGGTTTAGGTAGACTTAGAGTACGAATTTTTGCCAATTTATTAAAGGAAAGCATTTTAAGGCGGTAAAGTTATTCTACCTCTTGTAACAGCAAATATTCCTCAAATGTTGGCTAGTCCTGACTGGAAACAGCGTCATGCTGCGTTGATGGCGATCAGCGCTATAGGAGAGGGCTGCCTCAAACAAATGGAGCCCATGTTACCCCAAATAATGGACGGCGTTCCTGGGGTCATGGAAGGTGTGGTTAGATATTTCCACGATCCCCATCCAAGGGTGCGTTATGCCGCTTGCAATGCCATTGGTCAGATGGCTTCTGATTTTGCTCCTGTGTTTGAGAAGAAATTTCACGATCGTGTGGTGCCTGGTCTATTGATGTTACTAGATGATAATAGTAATCCAAGAGTACAAGCTCATGCAGGTAAGCATTAGAATTACTTAAAAAGTTAATTAGTGCTGTGAAAGCCGCATAGTCAAAACCACCCCAAAATATTTACTTTCCTTTACCGTGTCACCATTGATGTTTAAAGCAGTATTTAAGTTTAGATATTTTTGACAACTTCCCTTGAAAGCAATATAATTGCTTCTAGATTTATTCAACTTTAAATTATTTTTCATAGATCTTTGTGGCTCAAAATTGCTACCAGAAGCAAGTGAATTAGACGCCTTTATATGAATATAATTAATTGAAACATTAAGATATATGTGCCACAGAACACTAATCTGTGACATACATACTTGATCAATCTAACAAAAAAATATTATAGGTGCAGCGATGGTCAATTTTGCTGAAGACTGTCCAAAGCATATCCTAAGTGGTTACTTGGAACCATTAATGGCAAAGTTAGAAGGAATTTTGACATCTAAAGTGAAAGAGCTGCTTGAAAAGGGTACTAAATTGGTATTGGAACAGGTTGTCACTACCATAGCCAGCATTGCAGACACAGCTGAAGATGAATTTGTTACTTACTATGATCGTCTGATGCCTTGTTTGAAGTATATAATTGAAAATGCTAATAAACAGGAATACAAATTGTTGAGAGGTTTGTAGTTTTTAGTTGGGATTTTATCTAGTCACATACTGACATTCAGAGTATAGTTCACTATTTAAAACTTCGAAATCCTCCAATCTTTTTTATTTTTCCATTACAAACATTTGATTTATTGCTACAATATCCACTAATGGCTTAAAAAATGATCTAATATAATATCATCAGTGTTGCAGTCTTATCGCTTTTCCTAGGACACTGAATATTTAGGGACCTTTTATAATGGTTATAATACATTTTTAACTCTATCCCTTATCTTGTGAGGGAACTGAAATCTTTTTCTTTTGAACTAGTAGTTTAACAAATAAGAAATAAAAGGATTTCCAAAGCCACTGAAATAAAACTATTTTACATTCAGGTTGACTTAACTTAATAAATACAAGTAATTACCTGTGTATTTAAATTAAATTTAGTATAATTTTTTTCTTACATTTAGATTAACCTTGCATATCATGACAAGCTCTCTCTCTGTATTTTTCAAGGAAATTAATTTGTATTTAATAATAATGCTTATCGGTTATCAACTGTATTCTAAAATGTCTTATAATACAATTTTGCACTTGGTTCACATTGTTTAGTGCCCACAGGCATACAGAGATATACTTTTTTTTATTGGCTGCGCGTAACTGGAAGGGGAATTAATTTTTTAACATTTAATAAACTGATTTCTAAAGGTAATAACTTGAAATTGAAAGTATCCCGGGACATCCTAATTTGTAATAGTTTATTGTGAACATAGGAAAAATGTTGTGACAACAAGCATTAAAAAAAACAAAGGGACAAATTTAAGACTTGCCTATACAGGTCGAGGCACCCGAGTAAGTGAGAATGTGTATAGGTCAAAACTCAAGGCGCGTTCAGTTCCAAGCGCGGCTCGTAGCGAATCAGATTGTGTCTGATTTTTAGAGCAAGTGCGAAGGTCAACTTCATTTTTCGCACAACAGCAGGCCCCACCAACTGGTGAACCTCGAGGTTGCGTGAATGTGTATAGTCCCTTTTACGTCAAAAAGCAATATCCAATTGTTTGGATACTGCTTTTTGCTTATGCTTGCATATTTTTGTATTGACACACTCTATTTGTATACAGACTGCTTGCTGAGTGATATAAAGTGAACAACTTGTACCTACCTATTTAATTAATTAATAATTCTCTTCGACAGTGGCCGCACAGCCACAAACAAAGACGATCTCACTCAATATTTTTTAAAAAGTGAGATCTAATTATATCTTTGATCTATTCTCCGTTTTCTCACATAGGTAAAGCGATAGAATGTGTAACGCTCATCGGAGTAGCAGTCGGCACGGCAAAATTCAGTAGCGACGCCACTCAAGTCATGGACATGCTTTTGAAAACTCACGGTAACGGCATCGAATTGCCAGACGACGATCCACAAACGAGTTATTTAATTTCCGCATGGTCCAGAATATGTAAAGTGTTGGGCAAAAACTTTGAACCTTACTTACCCTTGGTAATGGGACCTGTCATGAAAACGGCGGCAATGAAACCGGAGGTCGCTTTACTGGATAGCGATGCAATGGCGGATATCGACGGAGAAGTGAATGAATGGGAGTTTGTCTCTCTCGGGGAGCAGAAAAATTTCGGTATTCGGACAGCCGGTAAGTTTTTTTTTTGCGTTTGCTTGCAGTTTGTTGAATAGTATCTTGATATATTAAAGGATTATAAATATTTTTACACAGAATTATTTCGAAAATTTTAGCTTTACAATAACGTTCATTCATTTCCCTCAACATGCCACAAACCTAAATATGCACGTATATAAAAACACACTGTAATAAACAAAATATTTATTTGTTCCAAAACTGGGGGGTTTTCTATGTCCATCAACAATCTATATTTCGTTAAACTAATGCGGATAAAGACGGAAACGCTGGCATAAGTCGTTTAATTTGTTAAAACTTGGAACGTCAGAGCTGCGCTCCCGACACAGCCGTCAAAAATTAATCTCATTTTATCCGTCCCTCTTTTGTTTATTAATTTTCTCCAGTGAACTCGATCTAAACTGGAATGGCAATGGCGTGATAGAAAAGAGTATAAAATAAAATTGATAACTTCTTAAACTTTGACAGCGCATTCATATAGGTAGAATACAGATCTATGTATTGTATATATAACGGTAGTAACTAATTAAATTGGGTCAAAAAAATCTCTATATTACATTATTGCGCGACACAACAATTTATTGAGGTAAAGGTAAACAAGATTACTTTCGAAAAATAGTCGCAGGGCGGGGCAAGGTGGTAGCGCGCAGCGCGAAGCAGCTTTTTATTATAAAAATTGCGTTGGTAAAGGGATGCATTGTTTTTTTATCGTCCTCTTGCGGACCACTCTGGAACTTTAACAAAATCGATGTAATTTAGTTGTGCATGCACCCTGCATAAAATGTCCTCGTCGTAAAATGGCATCTCGTCGAACTTCAAAGTTACAGCAAACATCGGTAAATATTAAAATTTGCACAAATTCTAGCGTTGTCAAATGATATTTTTTCAAATATCTCGCGCCCCGTATAATTGACGAAACCTGAAACTCTCTCACGACACGGTTTACGATACTGTTCAAATAAAATTATCCCATCTTTCACGGTTTTTCATTTATCACCAATAATTTACTCACAAAAACGGAAATTTATAAGATCTTTCAGATTTTTTGCCCATAAACGACACACCCAGTATATGATTCAAACAATGTTCGAAGTAGAGGCTATAGCCCTGGATCTTCCACGTTTCTTGATCCAAAATTTTTTTGAAAATAGTAAATGGTTTAAAATAAGTTTTTTCTGAAACCATGCAGTGCGCCGTAATAATCAATGACGTAATGGCGTCTTGACAGCCCCCGAAATAGCGATTTCAATATGGATTTTTTTTAAATATCTCGAGCAGCGTATGACGAAAACCGCCAATACAAGAATTGCAGCTCTTGATGCGGCCTGTGACAGCGTTTGCACCAATTAGGCATATTTTTTACAATTTTTGATTTGCAGCTAATAATTTACTCTGTAAAAGAACAATTTTCTAGGTCTTTTAGATTTTTGCCGATAATTAGAAAACCCTGTGTGTATAATCGAAAAAAATGCCCGAAATAAATGTTATTGCACTGGATTTTCTGCATCTGCCGGTTAAAGAATTGTGCCAATCGGATTAACGATTATGGAGGAAAATATATTTTTCTGGAAGCTAAAATTACCAAAAAAAAATTTTTTCCAAACATTTTTAAAAAATAATTGGTAAAATTTGATTACGCCCAATTGCTACCGTTTAAATTTGAAGTTGATATTTTAGGACACTTAACACATTTCTTATTTAGCACGGAATATCGGGAACACCCTGTCCAATAGGTGAAAACCTTAAATACAAAAGTTTTTGCTGTCTAGGTGGGCTATATCGCAATATAAAAGAAAGTGAGATCTGAAATATAGTCTTTCAGGTATAACCAATTTCCAATAATAAGGGGACCCATTTTTCAGTTTTTTTGAATTTGCGGAGTAGCCTGTATATTTTTGAAAAATTGTCAAGAATAAAAGTTTATGGAGCCGTATCTTCTGCGTCTTCCGGTTCAATAATTTTTTTGGTCTCGTAAACAGTTATTGAAAAATCATTTTTGCAGACCCTTTATTGATTTTTTTTTCAGAAACTAACCAAAAACGTTTTCAACGGCATTTCGGCTAGAAAGTATTATTTGCCGTTATCAAGTGAAAACTGAGCGCTACGATCTGCGAGGCTGCCTTTATCCTACACAACAACATCTTTAGTCGTCGTCGTTTTCACTTGATAACGACTAGTGATACTTACTAGCCGAAAGGTGGTAAAAACGTTTTTAGACAATGATCCGAAACGTCAGTATTGACCACAAAAATCGATTAAATCGAATTTTTCGAAAGCATACACAATTGACAACGAAACTTGTATCTCAGCAACGGTACGTCCCCCCACTGGTACAAAAATGATCAGCGTCGTGATTTTTTTTTTAATTTTTTGTTCTCCGTTTCTTTGTCGATAGGGATAGGACATTAAATCGAAATAACTATTGAACCGTTTGAGCTGCTACATTCAGATTTGCCTCTTTTTAAACAGCCCACGAGACCCATGAAAATAGGCCGCGATCGCACCTCGGCGTCTATCATTTTTTTAGATTTTCAACTGTTTTTTGGACATTGCTAGGAAACACGATAAATGTGTGAAATTTGCAGCTATCGACTTGAAATTTGACACGTGTATGGAGCTTGACTCCCTGATGAAGCCTATTGAAATTGTTGGGGGGGGGGGGGAGGGGAATTATTTTTAAAAATTTAAAAACCGCGTTTGCATGTATTTAAGAAAAAAAAATCATTTCTCGAAAACCGTTTACGCGATCTAATAAAATCGTGTACCAAAAGATCTGGAAGACCCAATGCTGTAAACTTTTATTTTTGAGAAATTTTAAAAACGTACAGGATATGGGGTTCTTCTTTTAATCAAATTTTACCGTAACTGAAAGACTGCTGTCAGAAGTCAATTTATTTAACACCAAAATATAGCTCGTGTAAACAGTCAAGACTTTTGTATTTAACGTTTTTTTCCTATTGTACTGGGTATACCGCGAAATACCGTGGAATATTGAAAAACGTAATAGGCGCCCTAAATTTGCAACTACCGACTTCAGATTTGGCAGGAAAGTATATGTTGGGACCCACATTTAAACCATTAAAGTTGGAAGTTGGGCGCGATCAAATACCGAAAAGTATTTAAAAAAAAAGATTTTTTTTTGGGGGTATTTTGGTTTCCAGAAAAAGAATATTTTCTCCAAAAGTATTAATCCGATCAGCAAAATTCTTAAACCAGTAGACGAGGAAGATCCTGTGCTAAAACTTTTATTATTATATATATTATACAGGGTTTTTCACTTATGGACAAAAATCTGCTCTGAAAATTGCCCTTTTCCAGAGCAAATTATTAGCCGTAAATCAAAATTCGTCAAAAATATGGCAAATTAGTGTTATGTGCCATATCGAAACCTACAATTTTTGTATTTACGGTTTTCGTCTATCACATAGGCTGGTCGAGATATTGGAGAAAATCCAAATGAAAATCACTATTACGACGTACTGCATGGTTTCAGAAAAGAATGATTTTCTCGAAAACCATGTACTCTATTGGAAAAATTCATATACCAGAGGCTATAATATTTATTTCGAACATTGAATTATATTTCCTTTTTTGTGTTTAAATTATTGGCGATAAATTAAAAACGGTTAAAGATGGGATAATTTGATTTGAACAGTATCGTAAACTGTTTCAATTTTTGTCTATCATACAGGGTGCGAGAGATATTTGAAAAAATCTAATTTTGAATCACAATTACCAGTACAAATTTTAATATTTACCAAAGTTTGGCGTTACTTTGAAGTTCGGCGAGATGTGAAAGTCCCTTTATACAGGGTTTTGCGAAAGTTCTGCCGCCCTAAGCGCTACGAGCTCGACTACAACAATTTATCACAAGTATCAACCTGTCGCGTACTATATTACTACTACTAGTAGTAGCATTAGTTTTTGGATATATTTTTACAAAACCACACGACTTCATGACGTGTTAAAGTGATACTTTGCCTGATCAGTGCATAATTGGATATTTTGCTCCCAAACGTGTAATTGTTTTAGGTTTAGAAGACAAGGCAGCGGCTTGCATAATGCTGGTGTGCTACGCACGGGAATTGAAAGACGGTTTTGCACCGTACGCGGAAGAAACGGTCAAATTGATGGTACCCATGTTGAAGTTTTACTTTCACGATGGTGTGCGCAACACGGCCGCCGAATCATTACCTTGGTTGCTAGAATGCGCCGCCTGCAAGGGACCGGCGTTCGTCAGCGACATGTGGCGATACATTTGCCCTGAATTGCTGAAAGCGATCGACACAGAACCGGAAAACGAAGTTTTGTTGATTATGTTGGACTCTTTAGCTAGATGTATTCAAAAACTGGGACCTTCCTATATTAATCAAGAATCGATGAGTGAAATTTTAAGAATTATCGATAAGCTCATGACGGAACATTTTGAAAGGGAAAATGATAGGCACAAAAAACACCTTGATGAAGATTATGATGAGGTATGTGATATATTTTTGCTGTTTTCTTTAAAATAATGCGATAATAATGCAATTTTCTGTAACAAATAATGTCAGAAACATTAAATGTGCGCATTGCACAAACCTCTCTTTTAACTGAATTACAATTAAATTGTAATTGGCTAAATAAATGCTTGGACTTGGTCTTCAAATGATCATGACTTGAATTTAAATCCGAATAAGTCTGCATCAATATATTTTGGGCCCGCTAAGTGTTGGGCTGTCCAAACGGTGGATGTATTTATAAATGGGGTTAAAATTGCAGCTGTTGACGAATGTAAAAACTTGGGTATCATCTTTGATAATGAACTCAGATTTCGTACACAGGTTTCCAAAATTCTAAGATATTTCAAACTTTAGACTAAACAAAAATCTCTGTGAAGCACTGGTTTTGAGTCATCTAAAATGTAAATTACAAACTCTAAAACGCAAACACCAAGTCATAAACTTCACAATTTAAAATGGTTAAATATATATCGAGCCCAGAAGAATTATGTTTTGCTTGTTTTCTTCACAAACTACTTAAAACTGGATTCCCCTCATATTTGTTGGAAAAACTGACTTGTAGAAATCTCATTCATTTCCGTGGAACTCGTTTCAATTGTCAGTATGAAATACCTAAAATTAAGAAGTCCGTCACTGCTTCTCCTATACGTCTGTTAGATTACTTAATAAATATCCTCAGATTAGCCAATCACAGAATGTCTCTCATTGTTTTTTAAATTTAATTTAAAAAAATATCTCGTAGAGGGACACTTTCTAGATCATTAATCTTTCTTAGTTTTCTTTATTTAATATTGTTTTTTTTTTATCGTTTTTGTTTTTAATTTATGCTTGATCCATATCTTTGTAGTGTAAAATTGATATACTAAATTAAATTTGCATTGTCTTGTTACATGCTACATACATTTCGGCTAAATTTCTTTTATCCGAAAAAGTGACTTCCTCCACATTAAAAAATTTAAGTATACCAAATGCCAAAAAAAAAAGTTAAATCTGTCTTTGTATTATAAACTTCCATGAAAAGACTCAGTAATAAAAAATTTAAAAGATATTTAAAAAAGTTCCTTCAAAGGCACTGATTCTGCTCTGATGCTACTAGTATTTTTTATGTATTTTTTTTAACTTAATCGGTGGTGTTTTTTATTTAATGTAATAAATAGTGTCCTTTTTTTGATATTTTTTTTTACCGTTATTTACCTGTGGAAAATGACTTACCACAATTGTTTTATTTTTTAATCTGAAAGTGGTTAATAAAGTATCCATCTGTCTACCTGTAATAAGAAAAAAACTGCCCATTATGGTATGTTGCACTGAACTTGCAATTCTATGTAAAATGCCACCTAATGTAATAATGGCAGAAAGCTTAAAAAAAGTTTATCCAGATGCCACTTTTTTGCATTGGTGCCTCGAAATTTACCAACATTTTTTTTATGTACTCTTAGAATCTGATAAAATAATGTTAACGAAGCATACTTTCAGGCACCAATTTTCAACAATATTGTGATACAGGATCGATTATATTCGGGTTTTGTTACAGGAGGTACAAGAACAACTAGAAGACGAAGAATCGGGCGACATATACATTTTAAGCACTGTAGCGGATGTGGTGCACTCTCTATTTACAGTCTACAAGGAGAATTTTATACCGTTTTTCGATCAGGTTTTAAATCACTTTGTTAACCTTCTTACCCCGACCAGAAGTTGGGCAGACAGGCAGTGGGGAATTTGCGTGTTCGACGACGCGATCGAATTCACTGGCCCATTGTGCGTCAAATATCAAAGTTACTTCATTCAGCCATTGGCAGTCTACATTAGGGATAAGAGTTGCGAGGTTCGTCAGGCAGCTGCGTATGGTTGGGGTGTGCTGGCCCAATTCGGCGGCGAACAATTCGCTGGCGAACTGGCGAAAATTGTGCCATCATTGATTGAAATCGTCAATGATCCGGAGTCCAGAGACGGAAGGAACGTGAACGCCACCGAGAACGCGATATCCGCCATAACGAAAATAATGAAGTACAATAATTCCGGCATAAACTTGAACGAAATTATTCCGTTGTGGTTCTCTTGGTTGCCCGTGATCGAAGACTCGGACGAGGCCACTCACGTTTACAGTTATATGTGCGATTTAATTGAACAAAATCATCAAGCCGTGGTCGGTAAGTTGATTAACTATTTTAGAATTAAAGCATGCAGGATGGTTCATAAGGAAGGTGCCGAAAAGCATCATAGATTAAACTCGCGAAAATAATGGTATTGAGCCTAATATACCTTAGTAAAATTTGGCCAATTAGAGAGAAATACCGGGTGTTTTAGTTCCCAAAATTGTTGTTTCTCTAGGGCTCAAGCAGTTATCTACCACCTTTATTTTGATAAAACACAAGGCTTTCAGAACATTTGCCTTTTTTACATTCATCTCCACAAATAATCTGCCTCTGCAAACTGGGTGAAAATTGATTACCTCTCGAATCATTCTTTTGATTTTCTTAACGTTTTTGGAATTTTTTGTTACATGAGTTGTGTTCAGTTTTTTATGGACATGGAACATTTTTTAAAACACCCTGTATTTTATTATGGAACGCAGACAAGACGGTACCCGGCTTGTTCGGCTTGCTCACCTCAATATTTTATGGAAAAAGTAAAAAAAAAGTGTCTTTTTCGATAAATGAACTTTTGTTATATGAGTTGTACATGATTTCCATGGACATGGGACATTTTTTTATCACCCTGCATTCTATTTTGGATATGGATTTCGCCAAAAATATGACGCTACTGCATTAGATATTCTGTCTCGTGGTTTGTTATAATTAGTCTTTTTTGCAGTTTCGTTTGTTAAACACATGGCTACTAAAGATGGAAAGTAATATACACAGTTATACTTATACTTTTACTCGGGCTTATGTAAACTCAACTAAAAGTTTTTTTTTCTAAATGCAACACGCTGTACATCATGCTTGACTACCATTAAATTACTTCGGAGCGAGTGGCTAGACAGTAGTCATAATTGTACATAGTGTTTACCCCCTGGTTTCTTCATGAGAAATAGCATTTTTAAACTTGCGGCACAGCCAATTTTTAATTTAAAATCTTACACTACTGTAAACATTTTATTTTTTAGGTGTAAACAATGAGAATATTCCGAAAATAATCCATATAATTGCTGAAGCCTTCTACAAAGAGGCGATCGAACCAAACTCGCAAGAAGGTTTTAGAATGTTAAACATCGTAAGACAAGTACAATTAAATGAGTCTTTTTTTCAATCGGTGGTCCAGACAATGACACCTGAACTGCAGCAAGCATTACACATGGCATTGCATTCGCCGCCTCCCACGTAGTAAATTAATTTCTACAGTTTTATCATCTTCAAAATTATAAATAGCTTATTTTATTTTTATAATGATAGTTACTGGTTAAATGTATCAATTGATCTAAATAGTTTTTACCTTTTGATAAGGTAAATTAATTTCACTGTTATATGAACGTTTTTCTTTTTTTTTAATTAATTTGTACATAAATTATCCATTATATATTATACGTTCATCCAACAATTGCAAATATATTTTGTCGTTTTTTCAACTGAAACTTTATTGTGCTGTGAAATAATGTTAAATATTATTGATTATTCTTCCAGTTTTAAATAAATTGTGTTAGGCGCATATGGGAATTAGGGATTGTAGTTTTCCCGAGAATGACAAACTTAGGAAGTTTAAGTCTAACAAAATGTTTGCCTTGTTATGAATATGTCCCCTCAGAGTTCCAATGAGTCTGCAAATAAATTGTCTACAATAAAACTTGTTTTTTTCACTTCCTACAGTGTAAATTCGAGTTTTTTTTTTGGATAAACATTTCTATTAAATCCGCAAAGTTTCAATTAGGAGCAAGGTACAAGCATTCAAAGCGCCACGGAATTAACGCCTGCTAAGCGACTGTGAACGGTTTTGAAAATGTTCCGGGAAAAATTCGTTTCCTTACGAGAGTGAAGCTGTTCTGCAAACACTCAGACAATAATCAGCCTGCTGTGTCTTCAGCTCTTGCAAACGATAACAGCGCCGTCCAAATTTGCGATGGTGTGAGCTTCTTTGAATGCTTCGATAATTTTTATTTACGCAATAATAGAACCGACTAAAACAATTTCGGCACTTTTTGATCTTTCGAGCAGGATGATTTGCGTTTTCTAGATTCGCTGCACTAAAAAACAATCGAAATCGCTCCCTTTCTTTCTTTTCTTGTTTACCGGAATAAATCTGCACAACGGTGGGTGGGGCGCACAGTGTGGCCAGGGCCTACTAGGCATTACTAGGTTGCCGTCAAATATAGCTTCAGTTGAAATACGGTTAACAGGTGCTTTTGATCCTTCCTTTTTGCGGTTACCACCCTATGTCTGGTACCAGCCACCACCAATCTTTGGTGTACCGCGCTCACTGCCATTTCACGTAAAAAAAACAAATGATACTTTTATTTGCAGTACTCGTGGTGGTATGATCTCGTTAAACCGATACAATATATTTTCAACGATACGATGTGTCGCTTCTCCATAAAAGCATCCAATTTTCAAATAAAAGCAATTTTCTGCAAAAATTGTCACATTTGCACATATTGCGAAATTCTCCGGAAAGCTGGGTGAAAAAGATATTTAAAAGATAAATTCCTTGTATGTATGTTTATAATTTCCGAATGGAACCGATTGGAGGTCAGCCACCACGGTGACGGTGCATACTTCTAAATTTAATTAAGCACTATTACTTTTATACCAAAATTTTTTGGAGCTATATTTGTACAGTTTGAGCGATATTTTTTTCAAATTACCTGGATATAATGCACTACAAAATACTAAGTCAACGAACAGAGCACTATAAAATAAACACGCCCAAATCAGAACTTAAAATAAAAAACACGCCACCGTTTGCCGAAATCTCCTGGTTGCCTAGGCAACGGCACCGGACCACCGCAGCTAAACCATCGCAATGGCCAGTGCTCTCCCATCCAGGAATTACGCGTTCTACAATATATGACCAAATAATAGCAAAGGACATGCAGAAAGAGAAATCCAGAAATTCGCGATTCTATGACGACATACAAGGTTTAACGATTTTTTGTTGATTTTAATTGTTTATTCAATTTTTATTTTTTGTGTAGTACCCAGCCGCGCGCTGATTTTCACAAGGGGTTGAACATTTTTAATCTAGGAGCATCCTTCAGTCTGTGCAACACTGCAAATTTTCGCGGATCAGGTCGTTTAGGGTCATTGTTTATTGTTAATTACCTCCCCTATAATTCTCCCAGAAAAGCGCTATTGAGGCAAGATATATGTATATAAGGCTTTTTAGACAGTTTCACGTACTTTAAACGGTAAATTAATGAAATTACAAATCTTATTTCTATCCAACTTTATTTTACCAAACAGGCGCAAAATATTAAAGCTTTTTCTTTTTTCGATTTCTGTTTTTAACATTGGTAACTTCATAGAAGTTACTACCTATTTTCTTTCTTTTCTTTGCTCGTTCAAGCGCTCTTTTTTCTTTGCTGTTTAATTTAATTTCACCCATCTCTTTGTCTTTATGGTCATTTCCTGACAAATCCTCAACTTCAAATTTTCCACTAGAGGAAAACTGATATTCATGTTCCTCATTTAAATGTTCTTCATCTGAACTGTCATCTTTACTTGCATTCTGACTGTCAATATTTCTGCTGTTATTTGCATCTTCAGATGAAATAGAATTTTTGGCTGAGTCATTAGAGTTTAAGGTGGATTCTAAATCTCTAATATCATCTCCCTCATAAGATAGACCAACTTTTATTTTCCTAAAATCTTGAATCACATTAAGCTCTTCATCTTTATTGCTACTTTCCTGTATTTTAGATGATTCAAATCCAGGAGGACAAACAAAAAATGGCAGTTTTCCTCTTTGCCAATCATTTAAAATCATTTTAGCAACTGACGCAATATCTGGTTCCCCTCCCTTGAGCAGCCTGCCAGATCGCTGGGCCATTTTGACCAAAAACTCATCTGCATCTTTCCAATCTTCTATTTTATATGTTTTAATTAAATAATCTTTTTTAACTCTGTCAAGTACTGTTGGTATATAATCTTCTGGATTGTTTACTAGTTCAACTCTTACAACCCCTTTAAGAACTTTTTCTGTATCTGTTTCTTCAGATGGATACACAACTCCGGGACAATCAATTAAATATATCCTCCTCATGAGAGTAATATATTGCCAAACTTTTGTTTCACCAGAAATTGGTGCCACTTTACATACTTTTTTACTACGAAGTGTGTTAATCACAGATGATTTGCCGACATTGGGATAACCTATGAATCCTACTGATATTTGCTTCTTATCAATGTGAAGTTTTGCTAAAACAAATAGTGTTAAACTATTTTAAAAAATACTGCAAGAAAAATACCAAATTGCCTTAAAAGATTTATCAGAGACCCTTTTCCAAATGGATGTGTAAGACTAGCATGAAATGCTACCGTTGGATATTCTTTGCTTAAAATTGCCACCCACCTCTGTGTCACCCATGTAGGCACTAAATCAACTTTGTTTAAGATAAAAATCAGATGTTTATGAGGGTGTTCATTTTTCAAAAATTTCTCCAAGTATGTTGATCTTGTTCCAATAGGATCCCTGGCATCAAGAATTTGTAACAACACATCTGAACTGTCAATAACCTTATACAACTCATTCCATATTCTTTTAGACTGCCCTGCACCCATTATCCAATCTCTTGCTAAATTTTTAATTCCCTCATTGTCTTTGATAATGTTCGAATCGTTCTCATCTTTATATTCATCTACTTTTTGTTGTGCAACATTCGCAAATTCTTTTAAATCCGATATTTTTATATTTGGCCTTTTTCTTTGCTTTTTTGCACCAAAAACGCTTTCATAGCTCTCTGTATCCAGCAAATGTACTCTCGCATTTTTGGATTTCTCATTTAGCAATGTAACAGGAAGTTTAGTTGGATTCATAACAATTTGATAAGGATTTTTTATTGCAGAACCCAATTCTGCTTGAAATTTCTGCAATGAATTCTGCGAAATAACACGTGTATTTCCAAACCACTTTTGGTTAGGTTCTACACGAGCTTGTGTGCCCGAGGACAGCCAACTTTGAAATGGAGCTGGTTTAATAATCTTTCCAGTTTTGTCCCTTTTGCTCTTAAAATTTCTATACATTTGCAAACGTTTAATTGTACTCTTGGTCCGGGGTTTTGCTACCCCCTTTAGATTATCTCTAGAACGTTCAGGGTTCATTGAGTGATTGGACCTTCCTTTTGAGTTTGGGGTGCCTTTTGGTTTTTCTTTTGCCATCTAAAATAAGAAACAAATCTTATAATACTTTTATCTTTATATGATACCCACTTACTTTTGCTGAATTATAAAATACCAATAAAATAATGAGCGGCCAAGTTATTAAGATTTTTTGTACTAGAAGCTCACTATCATCAACCAAGAAACTTACGCCACTGTTGTGGAAATATTTTCAATAAAAATTTACCGTTGTATCAGTACGTTTCACAGATTCTCGTGCAAAATTATACACGGACTTGGTTACTTATGGGTTCTTCTTCTTGGGAATGATTAGAATTAAATTCAATAATGCTTTTCACTAGTACTGTTGGGCACGACTGCTAAAATGATTAAAAATTATTTGCTTCCTCTCACTTTTATTAGCCAAATATGCTATGATCGGACCGGAATTAGTTGTTTTTTTTTTCTACTTATGGCCAGGTAACACATTTTTGCCAAGGGTCATCTTCCTTTGCCATCACCACACGGTCGTCTTCTTTTCAAAAGGCACCTCCAAATAAAGTCAAATAAATAGAAGAATCACCTATTGAAAAAATTGGAATGATTTGAGTATAGTAAATAATATATAAAACATTTGTGAACAATTTAAATCTTGCGTTATGGAAAAATCAATGGGATTCGATCAATGTCGTAGACTTTGGATAGGTAATTTGGACCCGAATGTGACGGAGTAAGTTTTTCTAAATAATCATGTCAATTGAGAAAACAGCTCCAACAACTGTCTCCAGAAGTTTGTTTTATCTACAAATTTTAAATGCAAAAGTTGTATTAAAGTGCTGTATGCAATGAAATTTTTGTTATAATTTTAATTTTCTCATCCTTGGCTTCATTTTAATATCACCTATCAAATGTAATAATCCAATACACTTGAGTTATTTTGTTCCTTAGAATCAAAAAGGCAATAGAGACTTGTGAGATGTCCTATATATAAACATTCCATTTATTGCATAATACACTTTTATAGAAATAACTTTTGTGTTCAACATTTTTCAATAAAACAAAATGTTTATAAAGATATAAAAGAATCTTGCAGTAATAAACTACCAAGTGCACATTTAACTTATATGATGTTTTCTTGTTTTTTATCGGTACCAACTTTTGAAACTCGCACAAAAACATGGAAAAATTGAAAAATTTGATTTCTTGTTACATCGTACTGGATTACTAGCAGGGCGACCACGAGGATATGCTTTTGTAACATATACGGACATAAATAATGCTGTAGTTGCAAGAGATCTGCTTAATAATCAAGTTATAGGCCAGAAAAAAATAACTGCAATGTGGGCTTATGACATTGATGAAAGTGTAAGTAGGCGTAATTACAAGACATATTTATTTATTAACTTGAAGATTTAATTTAGACTATGACGGAAAAACCAAAGATAGAGATATCAATTCCTGTATTAGAATTGTCAAAAGAAGAGAGAAAATCAGATCGTTTATCCCAAATCCAAGCCATCGAAGCCAAACTCAAACTTATGGAACACAAAGAAGATGAGCTGAAAATTAATGATACAATTGCATCAAAACCCCCATTAATTAAACAGTTTCAGTATAATAAGAATCGGGCCAGTATTGTAAAGCTAAAAGTCAAGAATGAAAAGTTTGCAAAACCTTACCCAAAAAGAAAAGATATTTAAACTTGAAATATTTATGTTTATACTATCATAGATAATTATTCTAAGGTCCCTCTCAGGAATATAAAAATCTCTGTAGGTATAAGTTTTATTGTTAGAACAACCTAATTAGTTATTAATACAAATGTGATTAATAAGTTTATGTCAAAGTGTGTTTATAAAATCCAAAATAATGTGGCTTATTTTATTTTATAATAAATTTCCTCGGATTGTGAAGCTTGTTTTATTGTTGCTAAACTGATTATAAGCTCATCTTTCTTTATTATTGAGCTCGAACAGGGATCTTTGAGGAGATAGAAAATCTGATCTCGAACTTGAGGCAACTGAAAAGTCCCAGTACTTCCAGGAGCTCAAAACTTGAGTATTTCAATTGTATTTTATTCTTACAGTATTCTAAAGTTATGTAACTATCATGGTCTCATCGTCGTGGTAATATTCGGTGTTAGTAAAGCAAGACCTTTTCGAATATTTTCCTTTTGTAAAATAGTTTTAGAGTTCTAGCAGACTTACTAATTTTTCGTTATTTCTGTTTGTACACCTCGATGTAAAAGTAAATCTTTATGAAAACGGGCGTTGATGTTTGTTCCTATTAATTTGTGACCTGCTAAAAAGAAACAATTTTAGATTAAATAACTATGCCCCATATTTATTGATCAAAATTTAGTTATGTCGGAAATAATTAATTAAGAATTAAAAATTAATTAACATCCAAAAAATGAAATCATAATCATATAAAGAGACTAAACTATTTAATTCTCTTATAATTAAAATGATCCATCAAACTCGTTTCCACTAAGATAACTACGGAACTGCAGACCACAGAAAACTAAAGTTAGTTTTGCTAACTTTTGGTTGTACCATGTAAGGATGTAACCTACCGACACGGTTTTCTCATTACCATTGGCACGCACAAAGGTTAATCTTAATCTATAAATAAAGGTTTAATCCAAAACCTCTCTTTTGGTCGAACACGAATTTTCCTCAACCACCTATTTTCATTCATTCTTAATACTTGTGTGCTTCTGCTTCACAATGCCATACCTGTAGTGGTGTGTCGGTCGTCGGATTCGGGAATGAATTCTCGGTCGGACCGATTCGGAACGAATCTGTAATTTAGTTTAAATCGTACCGAAATTCACGCTTGAGCGAGACTCGTACCTGGAGCTGGACCCAAAAATATGAACAGAAAGCAGGAACGATAGCATGCAATTTAGATTTATACCATAACGTAGCGTTCTAGCTATAGGCCCAGACCAATACAATTAGGTATTTTGTTTTGGGAAGTTTTGGAATTGAATTTATTCGACAAACCTTAACAATGTTAGTCTCAACAGGTGCATGCCCGTGGCCGACTATGCTTCTTTTCAATTTCGTTAGTGGGAAAAACTGAATTGGGGCAGCGCGGCATGTGAATGATAAATTAAATAAGGGTATATTACTCGAGTCCGAGGAACGAATCCGGACTGGAATGAACGATTCCATAAAAGAATTGAAAACTCTCACTTATCCCCAATACATCGCAATCGAATCGCAAAACTGTGACATGACAGCAAATGTTTTACAAACTATGTTTATTGTTCATACAAGAAAAAGAATTATTTAAAGCTTATATTGTATATCTAAGGATTAAATGGGCAGACATAATCAGAGAACACATTATTGAATCCCAATCGGTCCGCAAAAAGTATTATGAAGTTCCAGTCTTTCCATCCCTCCTTTACCTGCATTCAGAGTAGAGTTGTGTCAATCGCGATTGATTGGTCACTTTGATTCAATCACTCATAGGATCGTACGACCAAATCCCGCTTGTTCTTAACGATTCGATCACCTTGTTCGCTCTCGCTGCCGCCCTCACCGGTCTGAAGTGACCGAATACAGGACGACCATCGACCGATCGTACCAAAACAAATCGAATTCGCCTTGCGGAATACGGTTCATTTGAATGGTTTAAGATTTAATTGCATGACTAAGACAGGCAACGGAAAAGGAATGGGAGTATTGTTATAATTATTCTATAGTATTGAGTTGCGACATCGACTGGTAGATTTGCTGGTGTGTTGAATTGAATATTGAATGAAATATCTATTTCCACACAGGTATTTAAATTTAAACAAATTAATGTATTACTGGTACAATCCAGTATGTAGCACCTATTTTGATAAAATTCAATAAAAAGCAGAACACAGCTAAATATTATACTAACTAGAACAGAAAACATAACCTATAGATACAACAATAATTCAAATTCAAATGAATCTGAATCGGTCGTTCGTACTGTTCGGATTCAGTGACGCTTATGTTATCATCAATAAGTATTGAAATGAACGATTGATTGAAATGATTCGGTGCTTTTCGTAATCGGTCACTGATTGATTCGGTTCTCGTAAAATGAACGATTGACACAACACTAATAGAGGCAAACATAATCTTACCACGCATTAGGCAGGGGGTTACATTAATTGGAGGTTCTCTGGTTTGACAAGTAGGCGAAATTTGTCGAACTGTTTATTGTGAGAATAGAAGTAGTGTTATTGTATAGTAGCACTAGGCAGGTATAGTTGGCTTAAAACTACGTAATATAGAAACAAGATTATTGTTGTACTTAGTATTTTTGAAATTTCTGGTAAGATTTACAGGACAAGCGTTTTTTTAATACTCTGTGATTATATTTGGTGACCTTAAGATTTAATGTTTTTCCTTGTCACACAAAAAATAAACTCAATTCAGAGACGGATGTACATTACGCATTAAATCGCAAAATATTTTAAATTTTTTAAGCCAAACATGTCAAGTGGTCCATATAACTATTCATATATCTTCAAATATATAATAATCGGTGATATGGGAGTAGGCAAATCATGTCTGCTTCACCAATTTACCGAAAAAAAATGTAAGTATTAAAATTGCCAAGGGAGATAGTTATATTAATTATTTGAAATGTAGTTATGGCTGATTGTCCACACACAATCGGTGTCGAATTTGGAACCCGTATCATTGAAGTTTGCGGGCAAAAAATTAAGCTTCAAATTTGGGACACTGCTGGTCAGGAACGTTTTAGAGCTGTCACAAGATCTTATTACAGAGGGGCCGCTGGTGCCCTTATGGTATATGATATAACCAGGCGATCTACATACAACCATCTAAGCAGTTGGTTGACTGATGCTAGAAATTTAACTAACCCAAGTACTGTTATTTTTTTGATTGGAAATAAGTGTGATCTTGAAGGACAAAGGGATGTTACATATGAAGAAGCTAGTAAATTTGCTGAAGAAAATGGTTTAATGTTCGTTGAAGCTAGTGCAAAAACGTAAGTTGATGATCCAAATTCCTAATTAACCATATTTACCTTTTTGAAAAAAACAATAAGAAAATTTATTTTCTGTAATACCAATGAGACATAAGTTCCATGTGTTACTGTATTTTCTTGTAGTGGAGACAACGTTGAAGAAGCTTTTTTAGAAACTGCAAAGAAAATATATCAGAGCATTCAAGATGGGCGATTGGACTTAAACGCAGCTGAGTCTGGGGTTCAACATAAACCATCTCAGCCAGGTCGTAACAATCTTTCTAACGAACAGCAACCAAACAAAGATGACTGTCGGTGCTAGTTTTTTTCAGGATTACTATGAAAATTTCTATTATTTAATATTTAAAAGATATATATTCCAAATTGTTTCGTCTGGTATTGTAGGTATTGAAATTTTATTTTTTTAGTAAAGGAAAACAGTTTTATGATCTGAGCATATAGTGATTATCATCAAAAAATATTCCAATTTTATTGCTATACCTTATAGATAATAATGTATACAAAGAATTTATATCAGTTTTTAATTTAATTACTATGCTAATGAATGCTTTCTTGTATAGGTTTGCTGGAGAAATATGATGTTTAGTGTAATGTCAGAATGTCAGTATTGGCATAAGTATATGGTATACATGTTGCATTTTTTAACTGGTAGCTTGTTTTTAATACATGTAATTGTTGTGTTCAATGCTTTTAAGTTTCATAAATAGCCGTTAATGCTATCTGCTTGGAGAGCTTTTTATTTCTTAAATTGTCAGAAAATCCAGCTCAAAAAAATTATCCAATTAATGAAGTCATAAATCTCAGATATATTTTCACATACAGTGCACGAAGTTGTATATGATATATTATGTCGTATGGGTATACCTTACTAAGTCCTCTCTTTCAATTTCTGGTGACTTTATCAATTACTAAAGGATAATGTGTTTCTGAACTGAGAAATGGATTATATTTTGTAAGCAATAACTTCCTATATTTCATTTCAAGGAACAGAAATAATGGATTTTTCACTATGAGACCACAAAATTGTACCTAGTAAGTCTATATAAGTTTTGTGTTACATTAAATGTTAATCCAGTTAGATATAGGATAGATATTGTTGCACAATAGTTTTGTATTTTTTTGTTAAAATTTTTTTTTTTCAATTGGAATAAAATTGTTTCAAAAATTTTTTGTTTTGTGTCCATTTCTCATATTTAAACGGGCATGTATTTAAACATAATCTTATGTCAAGATTTATTAACTGGTACACCCAATTTTTTGAGATGAGAAAAGATAAGCCGCGTTTTTTTTTTTTTAATTAAGTTTAGTGAGAATTGTTTCAAATCGCCTGTTGTCAATGACCACTCAGCACAAGCTTAGTGTTCCAAAATAAATTATTTTACAAAATATCTGATAAAATAAAAACTGTAATACCTATTTTAATAAAACTTAGTGTATAAACATAAATCAATAAAAAAAAACACAAAAACAGTATTCTAAAAAAAAAGAAAAAAACAGTTTATAATAGTTTTAAGAACTTTAATTATTCAATAATGTACCTAAATATTAACATTGGCTATAGTTTATTTTACACCATACAAATATACATCTAATTTAAAACCCAATTTCTTCATCTGTACAAAAAAGTTCATCTTGATTTTCTAACGAATTTTTAATATTTTGCGGCATGTTGTTTGTTTTTATATTAAAAACCCAAAATTTTGCCTATATAAAAAATTACCTACATAAAGTTAAATTAAAAACACTGTCTACATATTGTTGTGTATCCTGTTGAACATAAAAAAAAGGAATCTCATTCTTTTAGCAACACAATCCAGGAATTTTAATTGTTTTTTAACACTTTTCTCCCAAATTGTTATGTCCGTCTCCGTGCCTTGAGCGGCGCCCGTGCTCTACCCGTCGACGCTGGTCCAGATCCAATATTAAATACACCAGTTGTTGGACCTGGTGTACCGAAACTAGCAGCAGGAGTTCCAAAAACCGGCGATCCCGATTGGAAAGAAGGTGTGGAATTGCCGGCAAAAGCTGGAGTGATGCCTCCGCTGAAGCTGAACGATTTATTTTTTTCTAGTGCGTTACTTGGGCCAAAATTAAAAGTAGTAGGTGGCGCGGCTTGAGGCGGAGCTGATCCAAACGCAAAAGCAGTGCCGTTGGAGGCTTGTTGTGGCTGAGATCCGAATATGTTTCCGGACGGGGATCCTACAAAATGATTAGATTTTCAATATAATGTTAACGTCAATGTCAATTTGTGAATGCAACATGTCCAAAATTCAGATTTATTTATTCAGCAAGACAGACCCTATGTACCAAAAAAATATTGGTGCCGAGGAGGCACAAGAGATAAGCCTCTTTTATGTATTAAAAAGAGTTCGACAGTTTTGACTATGGCAGTGGCATTCTTTAACCGTATACGCCTACCATCGACAAAAAAAAATGGCGAAAAGTGCAGAGTAGTATGTAAAAGTTATGTTTATGCGGAAAATCATTCCATTTTAGACAAAAATCTCATAGCTGCCTAAGGCGTATCAATTTTACTCCATTTGCGGCATAACTCTTGACAGGGTCGTCGATTGGTCATAAAAATTGAAAAAAGTTTATATAAACGTAGTAGGGCCAGAAATGCTTAGTTTTCACCTTACGTTAAATATTTAAAAAAACGGCTTGTGAGAAAATACTTATGTCGTAGGCTAAATTTAAGCGCATGCCTCTAGAATTCACTAACTTGCAGTTTTGCACTTTCTTTCTAAAGTGCGATTTCCACACATCCGTGAGATACATTGAGAAAATACTAAAAATGCCGCATCCAAACTTACTGACGATATGTCAAGGGCCATGCTAATTGTTGAATACCGCAGGGTTAAAAACGAGATTCTAAATCTCGTGCATGCGCATGTGGAATTGACCTTCCCAAGCTTCATAAGTTACGGTATGGGCAAATATGTAAACGATTTGTAATCACATTAATTGTGTTTTATCTTGGTCTAATGTATTTCAAAAACGGTGACAAAAAAATTAAAAGAAAAGTTGGTTGGCAACTAACTGACACATTAAATAATTGTCAGTCATGCCGCAAAAAGATTTAATTGTATAAAAAGAACAAATGCAGCTAATAGTTTGAAATATAATAACACTGCAACTAGCGAATATCGTTTCTTCAGTTAAATTAAATGGTAAATTTGGCTAATGCACTACTTCTATTTGCCATATTCCAGTTTTTAAATTTTCTTCCAACCAATATAAAAAATGGATTCCAAGATGTAATTCTATTCAAAGAACGTCTAGGAATTTTGGGTGGTTCTATTTACAATGATTGTATAGATGGTGAAATTTGAAAAAAAGAGTCTAATACATTTTTGCATTTCTTCACAAATAAAAAAACATAAATGTCTGTAATGATAAATTTGCTCCTACACAGATTTTTCTTGACATATAGTGCTTTCATCCAATGTGTCATCAATTACAACGCTGGAACTAATTTTTAAGTCATTACACATCATCCAATGCCCAATGCCCAATTACTTTTGGAAATAATTGATTGGTGATTATGCTGCTGCCTAGCCTTTCGCCAGATCACAATAAGCTTTTTCATATTAACATAAAATGTAGGATGCCTATTTGTCTTGAACTTGGGTTTAAAAATGAAACTGTAGCACCGTTCTCAACTTACGATTTTTCAAAACTCACCAAAAGTACTGGCAGTACTCCCAAAACCGATCTGAGTGACTTCGGGTTTAGCGAATCCACCTGCCGTCTTACCGCCTTGAAATACTGAACTCGCATCTTTGTCCGAATTTCCAAATGGTGACGGATGACCTCCAAAAGTGCCCGACTTGTTCGCCAGCACTGGTACAGTGTTTTGTCCAAACGATGTACCCGAAGTTGGTAAAACAGCCGATCCGAAATTTGGACTAGTTGTGGAGAAAAAACCAGTGTTTGGTTTTGATATTGACTCTGTAGAATTTGCAGCCCCAAAAGGGTTTTCCGTCTTCCCGCCAAAATTAAAGCTGGGGGCAATAGAGCTTCCAAACATAGGAGGGGTGCTGGCGGTTGTTTGTATGGAGGACTGCGTTGAAAATGAGGGTTTTGTAGATGTCCCAAACACAGACTGAGCAGTGAAGGAGGTGTTATGTCCAAATGATGAGTTGTTACTTGGATTCCCAAACGCAGACGCTGTTGTTCTAGGAACAACATTTACTGTATTTCCAAAAGATGGGGTAGCCGGGTTAACAAAGCTGCCAAATGTTGGAGAAGCTGTAGAAAGTGAAGCACTCCCAAAGGTTCCAGCAGCAGCTACTGATGGATTAACTCCAAATGTACTGGGTATTGTTGAAGTATTGGAGGTATATGATGGTGTAGTAGTGGCAACTCCAAAAGGTGTAGAAGTGACTGATAAATTTGCTCCAAAAGTAGATGGCACTGTTTTAAATGACGGAACGGTATTTGGGTTTCCAAAGTTCAATGATGAAGTTACAGTTGACGGGAAAAGTGAGGGGGTGGATGAGGCAACCCCAAATAATGGGGTGAAAACATTTGCAAATGTTGAGTTGGTACTACTGGTTGTAGGTTTCGTGCCAAATAAAATAGTGGATGTATTGGTAGGTATGGCACTGGTAAACAATGTTGGAGGGATTGTAACATCTGCAAATAAGGTACCTGAAGTTGTAGTAACTAGAGTAGGAGCGGGATTAAATGCTGCAGTCTTTTCATTGGCATTAGATGTCAAAATATTGGAGTTTTCAAAGCTGGAGGTTGTAATTGGATTATTACCAAAAACGAAAGTAGATGTAACAACAGAACTGGCAGGTACAGAGGTTGTTACAGTAAAAGCACCAAAACTAGTAGAGGATGGTAATATGCTGGTAAAACTCGATGTTGTTTTTGTTGGGGGTGTTGAATTATTTGCAGTGCTAAAGTGTAAACTTGCACTTACTTTTTCAGTATTGCTAGATATTGTAGTCATTTCAAGTCCAAATGTAGGTGAGGTTAAAACTGTGGCAGGCGATATAAATGAGGAACTGCTTGTATTTGAGTTTTTAAAATTAAAAATTGATTGAGAAGTGGTCGGGGTGGAGAATACAACCAAATTTTTGTCTGCTTCTGGCTCTTTGATGGTATTAGCATCAGTTACCTCCTGTAAAATACCAAATGAACCACTGTCTTGTTTTGGACTTGGATCAGCTTTCTTAGAATGAATTAAATTAAAAGGAAATCCACCTGTTTTTGAAATACTAGGGCCTAATGGTGTAGAAGTAGTAACAACAAGATTACTTGTAGCTACAGTAGTCCCTACAGAATTTTCACTTTTAGATATAGCTTGTGAAAAGCTTGGTAATGACACCAAAGTAGGTGTTGAAGTAACAATATTGGAAGTTTCATTACTACCACTATTTGAAGTGGAACTATCAAGTTCCTCTAATTGAGTGTTAGCCTCCTTTGATGCATTATTAGAAATGCTAAAATGAACGTGTTTGTTATTTGGAATACGCATTTGATTGGGAAGGGAAAGAATTGATGTCAAAGGTTTTCCCATGTCTACAACCTCTTTAGAAGTATTATTATCTCTGGTTTCAATGTTTTCTGGTAGATTTTCGCTAATATTGGTGTTTGTTTGTAATTTTGGCAACAATGCAACTTCTTTTCCAACCAAAGTTCCCATCAGTGCAGCAAGTCGATTTTTCCGGTTTTTCTCTAATGGAACTTCATTAAATACCTTCACAGGACTCTCTCTAGTACTAGAGCTTAACCTTTCTTCTTTGTCTTTAATACTAGTTTCCTTTTCTGGTTCAACAGCTGCGGTTTGTGTTTCAGCATTAACATATTTTGTCTGCTTAATTGTTGAAATTTCTGTTGATGTACCTAAAATTTGATTTAAAAGTTAAAATATTTAAAAATCGTTTTCCAAATATAAATAACAATTTTTTACAAGCTTTAAATATGCCCCCAAAGTTAATTCTAGATACAGCTTAACAACTGCACGAAAATCCATGTAGAGTCAAAACATATTTCAAAAAAGATGAATATCCTTGACATATCCAGGTGAATTGATATTTTATTGATCATGATTCCGACTAAATCTGCATTTGTAATTTGTTGGACTTTTCCAGATAAATTTCCACTTTCATGAATGATAGAATGTCACAATATTTTTTTTGGTGCAGATAGAATAAATATGCAAAAAAGGCAAATCTTTCAATAACTTTCCTAGAAAAATTTTGACCATGTGTAAAAAAACTAAAAATAAAAATTTAGAGAAAAAGGTATATTTCAAAATAAGAAAGCAAAAAGATAGCTAAATCTAAAAACCAATAAAAAAATATAACCATAACCTATAATAATCATTTTTAATCTCACTTCCAAAAAATTGAAAGCGTATTCATACTCAAATTAAAAACTACTTGACTTTTGCAATTCAATGGAAAAAGGGTGTAAGAAATAATAGAAGTAATTTTCAATCTTTCTGGAAAATCTTTCGGACTGATTCCCTAAACCGGCATATTGTGTCCATATTTATTAGGAAAAGTGCACCAAACACACACACACACAGCACCAAACCAAAAATAACTGTGCAAAAAAGCTAGGAGCAAGTGAACTGAGAAAAAAACAGAATTTAATAGAAGCAATAAAAATGACTAATTCAATAATACCAGGTTTCCCCATTGAAGGCAGAGATTTGATAGGTGTCTTAAAAAATATACTTACTAGTTGTTTTTCTTTTTGTTCTAGATTGTTGGTTATTTTTCTTAATAGTTGAGAAATTTGTGGAAGATTTTGATGCAGCATATTCATCATAGACACAAATTTTTTTGGATATGGGTTTGCAACTAGAATTGGGTGATTGCTCTCCTGAGGAATTATCTTGCGCACGTTTGTTTGAGTTACAACTCTTAATATCATCTGTCCTTTGCTTTTTCGCATGATCCTCATGTAATTCAAAGTCCTAAAAATTAAATATAACAAAACAAATTCTGTTCAAATCCAGAGCTGTTCACCTCATTGCCATGAATTCTCTTTCTCGATATCTCTTTTAAGGCATCCAATACATTTTCAGTCCTAGAACTGCTTTGTGCTTGTGATAACCCATTTACAGTAGAATTTATGTTAAAATTTGCTGGTTTTGTAATACTTTCTAAGATTTTGTTACTATGCTCTGGATGTATATGCTTTACCAACTCTGTAATTAGAAAAAAATATTTCACTGATAAATTTAACAACTTGCGAGCACTTACCTGGTGTTCCAATTTTTATAAAAACAGGTTTTGGTAATTGTTCGGAAGATGTTTTTTTATTAAATAAGTGAACTATTGGAAACAAACCCAGACTATTATACTTTTCTTGACATAAGGGTTTTTTTTTCCTAGCCACTTCTTCACTATACTGAACCACCCTTCCGGCTAAACCAGGACTCTTGGTCTCCTCATATGTACTCACATTGTCTTTGTAATTTATAGAGGTTAGCAATGGCCCTGAACTATTATCGATATTTCTAGGTGGAGTTCTACCATTTGTTAGGGTTGTGACATCAGATAAGGAATACCTTCAAGTTGAATATCGGTTGAAAAACTTGAATGAAAAATTATAAATTCTATATATCAAATATTAACTACACATACATACCGCCTAAAACTAGGTAGTCGAGGCTTAGATGATGTTGAAAATGGGAGTCCGTGTCGTCTAGCTGCCAAAGAATGTAAAGGGGTCGAAGTAATTTTTGGATTTCCATTGTAAGTATCATTAATAGTTTTGTATAAGTGGCTATTATTTGGGCTGTTGTTACTCTTTGGAGAAGGGAACATACTGAGAACAATAGTGAAGACTAAGTTTTCGCCACAAGCAGATTATTTTCTTGGTTATACCTAACCTCTGAATTTTTTGACTTAATCCAGGAATCTATTAAAAACCTCGTTGTATATAAAAGTTTGTATATAAAGGCACTATGCACGAAAATTCCTAAGAAATCAAAAGCCATAAACCGAAGCTTTCAAATTTTTTCACAGAACAAAAAACAAAACCCTAGATTGATGACCACAGAATATCAAAGTGTCGACCAGATATATCGAACCACGTGTCACCCATCGATGATTTTAAGGATATTTCATCTGAAGTTGCACTGTGAAACAAAACCAAAAGAAGGAAGAAGAATAATAAAACGGACCATAAGATACAGAACACGACAGAATAAAAATATCCGATATTTTATTATATATAGGGTGTTCCACAATCAAAATTAAAAATTTTCGTTAATAAATCTGCTAGCAAATGTTAGTTGTTAACAAAATCCAGGTTGCTCATTTTTTTTTTTAAAAAAGGTGGAAAATATATTTCTGCATTTACAAAGGAAAAAAATAAAAATGTCTTTATGGCACACTATATGAATAGTAGAATAAGATGTGGAATGAAATATTCTAAACGAATGTCTCCTAAACTGTTTTATATGTAAATAATAACCAAGGGTACGTTCCTAAATAAAAATAAATACTCTTTTTCAACATAAAGTCGAAGCAGTCCCAGTTTTAGAGGTAAAAAAAATTAAAATATTCATCACAAAAGTTAAAAAGTTGATTTAAAGTTCAAACTAATGTGGAATTGAGCTTTCTCACCTTATTTCTAAACTATTCTTTACAGGTTGGGTTTTTGCTTAGCTTTAACAAAAAATATTCAAAACAAGCACGCATTAAAATAGCACACACTAGTCGCACAGTTTATATATTTATTATTGTTTATGCATTTCGGGCAATAGGAATTTCGTCTCTTTTTCATTCAAACTGGTCTCCAGGTATATTTGCTCTTAAACATATGGAATATTTATTGAAACATAAGCAAACAAGTATTAGTTCGGGAACTGAAAATCGCTAGCGACTCATTATTTGAAACATGCGTTGAAATAAAAATTGGCCCAAATATTGTTTTTTTGTAAAATAACATTAATCAATCAGATATGTGTATGATATTTGTTAGTAACTCTTTGGAAAGAGACATTCAACTCCTATTTTGGGATGGAAACAGTGAGTCCGAAGATGATAATCATGTTTGTCACCCTCTTTGTCAACGGGTACCAAAGGTCGATATTGCTTAGCTCTCAAAAATCGATATTAACTAAATGAAACGCCGATTGAACTTATCAATATTGCCATGTTCCAAAACACGAATTGTTATAACTGCAAAAATGGGGAGAAGATACACAGCAATACATTAAGACAAGCACAAAAATAACAAAACTTAAAAAAATAATGGCATTCTAATCAGCTGAAGGCATTTCGGTGCGCATGCTCAATGCGACGGGTGTTGCAGTTCCGATTTTCATGGATAGTGCGCGTACGTGAGAGCATCGCCCTAATCCAAATTATAACAAAATTTGTGTCAGTTTGTTGATATTAACCTTAAATACGGGTGGAATATAAAACAATGTGGGTTAAAAGTGCAATCAAATAGCCCAAATGTCTCATTTAGGCGAACGCTGGCCAGATTAACCTCATTTGGTGAGTCGCTTGTGACAGTTTTCTTACTTATGTCCTTGAAGGGAAGGGTGCGATATTTGCTGCCACTTTGGTACCGATAACTATTCTCCTCAAACATTTCCTTTTGGAATGAATTGGCTATCGTTTGTTTTATGTAAGGCACGATTCTATTCCTCACGTTTTAGTTTGTTTTTTTACGATTTTTTACCTTCCACATTTCCGAATTTCTTTTTTAACAAATTTTTTGCTTCTCATTTTTGTGAATCGATATTACATTCATCTTATAAACATTACTTTAACTAATATGTAGTTCAAAAATACCCGGAACAGTTCTAAATATTTTGAACAAGATTTCTTGAAACTAAAAATCTTTTGAAACTCCTATTCTATAAATGGTACCTAGTTAATTTTTATGTATGACTATCATTAACAACGCTGCATTTGGTACCCTCTTACTAGCACTGTATTTTGGTATTGCTTTCATGGATCATCGTCAGTTATTAGCGTGTTAATAAACGACACGTCGCCATCGGTTATGTCAATATAATAGCATATACGACATAGCCCAATATTACTTACGCATTTTAATCTTAGGTTGAGGTTTAAAAAATGACTCCTAATTTATGTATCTACAATGAACGTGGCAGGATTAGGTATACCTAAATTAGAGACCTATACTCCCATATACCAAAGTAACTAATCGCGATATACATATGCAATCATATATGCAGTTACAAAATGTCCTATAATGTTTCTAAAACAATTGTTTATTTTATTAAGACCATTTTTTTATCGCTTTAGTATTAACCCAAGATAAATAATACAAAGAATTTCTATTCATAGCAATTGTATTAATTAATATATACTAACAAAGGTACCCAAAAATAAAATGCAAGTATGCAGTACATTTCCTTCTATATTGTATTTGCCTCATTCCCTGTTTCAATTCTTCATTCCACATTTGCACCACTTTTGCCTCTGTTTATGGTTAAGGAAAGTATTTTTTTTTGAATAATATAACATTTTTTTTACATTTATTGTCCCAAGAGGTTTAGTACATAACAGAGAGAAAAATAGTATCCAAAAAAACATGAAAAATCCACTGTCCACATGTAAAGGACATCATTCCGATGAACTACATATGTATTAAAATTATCATACATGGTAAATCGAGAAAATTTAAAAGTTGATTTAAACCTAGGAAGAAAATTTAAAGTAAATGTAAACAAAGGTGCCACATTTGATTGATACCTTGAATGATTAGCGATAGAAACAAAAATTAGAAACTTGCACGTGTGCATGAGATGCATAATAAGAACCGTTTTTATGTACATATATAGCTCGTTATATAGTCCCATAAGTTAAATTTAATACTACTACTACACGTTGTTGTATTGAGTGTGTAAGTGCCTGTATTTTCACGAATATTAAAATTTATAGAAGAAAATGACATGCTCTCTGCAATCAATTCAAAAAACGATAACGCAAATAAGAAAACAAAACATTTGGGCCTTATAATTGACAAAAATCTAAAATTACTGTCTGTTGTAAGCACAACTGCAATGAAATGGTATTTGTCTATGTACCATGAATTGATAGTTTTGGTTAGGAATGGTTACTATTGCAGGCCAAAATACCAATACTAATTATTTAACTAAGCTTGGTGCCTTGCGGCATTTTGTTGTACTTCATGTCAATTTTTATGTGATTGAAACAGTGTGTTTACATCTAACAATGAATTCGAGGTTGTTAAGTGAACCATTTACTTAATTCCAAACAAGTTTAGTTTTTTGACATTTCGGCTATCTAACTAAGTTGTCCGTTAAGCGGCTGATTTTGCTATTTTTAAAAACATAAAAATATTGATAATAAAGATGACTACTGCCTCGGGTATTGCAATATGTAGCTACGGGAATGTTGTAGGTAAATTATTGGTTTATTCGTAAGTACAATAATAACAATAAGTATAGGCTGTTGAGTGGGTTCCTTAATTTACTTTGTGACAAAGTTTCTCCGAAAGACTGAAATATGAAGGACAATGTTAGGATATTGCCACCGTACAGTCGCTTTCTTTAATCTGGGGTTCGACAACAATTTTCGTTATATGTAAAAATAGCATACATACGTCACATTCTTAAAACAAAATAATGGTTCTGTTTCGTTAACAAAATGGGGCATTTATCTTTTTCGATCAGTTTTTATGCCCTAATAGAGCCGAAATAATAGTTTTTTTTGTTTTGTTAGTTTTGGTTTGGTTTGATAAGTTGATTAAATATTCTGTGAAAATGCGAAGAGTCAGCTTTAGAGTTAACGGTTTAAATCATTCGTTAGGTAATTAAAAACTACATTCCCTCGAACGTTAAAAAATATTCCATTCGATTTAAATTAATCATGTTATGACCATTAGATTGGAATACCTCTTGGACCACCTAAGACAGGAAGCTTTTTACTATTGTGATATAAAATATGGTCTGTGATTATACTTTCGTGTAGATTAAAGTTGGGTTATATTTTGACAAAATTCAAATTATTTAAAGAGCCTCAAGATATTGCAAACGTACACTACAACTACAATACCACTTTCATACCTTTAACGCTTTTGTGACAACCTGTATATTTTGGCCACAATACGCCGTATGGCGTTAATAAAACCTTTACATTATAAAATCACATTTTGAAAATATGAAAAAATGCAATAGGTGTACAAAAATACATTACTGCAAGCATATGCATCACAAGAGTTAAACATTTAAAAACATGTTTATTTAGTTATTTTGTTATTAAGAAAGTTTTAGAGAAAACTTACTGCATTGGGAAATATCGGCGAATAACCGAAAATAGCGGAATTATTTTTCTCCAGTAAATATAAAACGGTTCAATTGACAGCTGTCAAAATGAGACATTTTTCAGAGACTTTTTTAAGGCTAGTGAGATAGCGTGTATGACAGTCTCAATCGTCTTTTGATTTCTTGCGACGCACCTTAACTTTCACTTTTCTTATAGTCGCCATAGTGGATTTTTCGATTTTTAGAAGAAGCGTAAAATTTTCAATTCAGTGATGGGCTCACAAGTGTACGATAGATTTTATATCCCTTCGTAAAGTTAGGTCAAAATTAATTATTAATTAACAAAATTAGTAATTGATTAATGGCTGTATGTTTTTAAAAGAAAAAGTCGGAAAAATCGTCGTTAATTTAAGAACCTACAAGTTCGATACAAATTGAAAAAAAATCGCTACGGGAATAATATAATGTACCGGTTATTAATTACAGATTTGCAAAATGATGTAGACTTGCATGGAGAGATTTTTGGCAATTGATGACTGTTTTTCGTAGAACTTTAGCAAGTACTAGTTAATGTTTCTAAATGTGTCCAAAACTGTTTGTCTCTGGGTTTCTATCGTCTCGGCAAGATCAAGTTCAATTGTGTGACCGCAGAGTCAGTCAGTAGATATAGGATACCAAGAAATTCGACCATTTATTTAAATAATTCTTTCGTCAAACGGCTCGGAACTTCTTAAGTGGAATAGTGTTGAGAGCCGGACATCCATCCTGTTGAAGCCAGGTTCTTGTAAACTCATCTTACTCATCTACTTTTCTTATTCTTTGTGTCGTTGATAGCTTGTAAATTGTTTCCGTCACGATTTTCATTGTCAGTGTACATACGTGGTTCGAAGGCCCCAGGGTTAATTAAATTAACTACGATTTTTCTAAATCGGCTTTTATGAGGCTGTCGTCTTTCAGGATACGTCTCCAAATACCGTGCTCAGGTAATGACGGCGTTTCTGTGTGACTGCAAGTACAACGCTAACATGTCAAATTTTTCTTCAATGGAATAAGGAATACGGCCATTTTGAACTGGTTTCAACAACTTGTTTGTTGCATTTATGAGTATAATGAGAGTGGAGATCCCTATATGGAAGCGAATCTGGGACACATTGTATATCGCAACCACTTAGTTCAAAGAAAGATAAACGCGAGGTTAAAAATTCACAATCCAGAAAATCTTAGATTAGAGCAGAAAATGTTACTCCTACTTTAAATCTCAGTGTAATAAATTTGCCAAGAAATGTAATTAATAAGATACCAATTGACAGTTGGAAAAATTAAGTACAGCACATTATAAAAATCGAGGCACTTACATTTCTATACAAAAGAACCTAAATCCTATTATAATTAATCTCACTGACCACTCCGATAGCTAAACAGAATTAGATTTAGACTTTAGATTAAAATTTACTTTTTGCTTAGGATAAACCTTTGTTTAGTTGTTGCTCCTGTCATCATTTTTCATAAACTTATTTGAACTAAATCAAGTCGTAAAATAAACATTTTTCTTGGCTGTCCGGTTTGTGCTCGTTAAGGGGGTGTTGCTGTATTTAACGATCACCTTACCTTCCCCAATGCCTTAGTGATCCACGAGAAAAATTTCTACAGAACTAGGAGAATGAAGTTTACCACTGTTGATTCCACTGAAAACTGTCAGAACGAAACCACCTTCAAATAAAGGAAAACGCATCACCATAATACACGCTGGGTCAGAAGACGGATTTGTCCCACACCGCTTGCTGTTCTCTGCAAATAATATTAAGGATTCTAGCTGGGATTATCTTGAGGATACTAGTGCCGAACTTTTCAATAATTGGTTTCAAAATAATATTTTAAAAAATATATTTCTAAGAACAGTGTTATTGCCATGGATAATGCAAGCTACCACAGCGGTCTGCTATGCAAAGCACCCCTTTATCAAGTTCATAAACTGAAATTCAAGAATATTTGTTAGAAAATAATTTTTTTTTGAATTCAGTGCCAAAAAAGCGCAACATTTAGAAGTCCTAAATTCATATGCAATTAAAAAACATAATAAACGATAATTTAGCTGAACAGGCTGGGTATATTGTCTTCCCCCATATCATTGCATGTTTAACCTCATAGAGCATTTGTGGAACCAAGTAAAATCTTAGATTAGAGCAAAAAATGTTACGCGGTGAAATAAATTTTCTAAAATTGGCAGCTGGAAAA